ATTCTAAGTATATATATATATATATATATACTTCGGTAATTATTTGGGACTACTTAAATTAGTCGTAATTTTAATACGCATATATTACCGAGAGAAAACGCAACTGAACTCCCTTTAAATTAAGCAATAATAGACGAAAATTGGGTACCTTATATACAATACTTTTAACCGCCTTCAACTTCAGTTTTAGTAACAACAATCCGCAATCAGTATTAACAGTTTTGAATTTCATAATGCTTTTCACACCTCCTGTCCTACCAGCATAAATAACTAAAAACACAACCTTCGTTATATATTATGTAAATAATAAAACTTTTGAAAATGTGTACATTTTAAATATACAGCATAACTGCAAAATGTATTTTATCAAGTGTTTTAATACCATATTTGTGTATCATAATAATCGCGTGACATATGAAAAAACAACAACAAATAATTCACCATTTTAACGCTCTGACACATGCTTTTGAGCTGTATTGGTCGCATGGTGCCTAATGCCAATTCCTGAAGGAGAGTAACAGATTGTGTGCTGGGCGGTCAGAGAGCTATACCACTGGATACAGGAGGTCACAAACAGCCAGTGTCCTCTGACACCCTGAGAGTCTGGTTAAAAAAGAAATGTAATTTCGATTGCCAACTGAGTAACTTATTTTCATATACATATTTTTAATTTTTGAAGTTTTGGGGCTCAAATCCAATTTCAGGTGCTGGAATGGTCTATTCTTTCATTGGGGCGTGTCTGTACCAGCTGCCTAGTGCCGGCTAACAATACGAAGAATTAAATTGTGGCGGAATGCTACATGTTCTTCAAATACCTATAGAATGATAGGTTTCTTTTTTGTGAGTGTAAAACACGTAAATACACCATTTCGAAAATCTCATTGTGTTCTGGGACATTCACAAACATTCACCTGATGTAGCCCTGTGAGCACAATGAGTTGTATACATTTCACGTATATCGTTTGAGGGTTGAAATGTAAAAAATATATATACATATAAAATATAGATTGTTAAAACTGATTTTTGTACAAGACGTTTAAACATTATTTTCTGTTAAAGTTTAAAATTTAATTGACGATTTTTAAATAATTTATATAAAAATATTAATCAGTGAGAAGTATTATCCGGCTTTAAAGTTAAATTTAGTGATCAGATTGTTAATTAGATAATTAAATAGACTTTTCTTACATTCTTACAAATGAAGATAAAAATGCATTATACTTGTCATCAGACATTAGTATTAGGCCTATAATATTTTTAAATATTGTATTTTTTATCTAGTCCCTTAGAAATTTTCAAGAATAAGAAGGGTGTATAATAATGGCATTACAACCACACAAGATAACAATTAGAATGCATTGTTTCATCAGTTGACTTCCCTCGCTGTCATTGTTTTAGTCCATAGGAATAAGGATATATCTTAGGTCAGTTCAATAATCAATCAAGTAATGTGAACGTTGTATCGCTAACCCTAAATAAGTAGGATTTAAAGTAAAGAGGTGGCTAGCGTGAATCAAACTTAACACATCCAAAGTAAACTGGTACTAACATTAACAAAAATTAATAAATCCTTTATTGGGTTATTTTACATTACTAGTACAAAAATAAAATAAATTAGAAATTACCTCCCACTTTAGGGCTTAGTATCCTGTGCTGTGGGAGGTCTCAGTATAACTACATACAAACGTAGATATTTCATACATTAAAAAAACAAAAATGATAAACTTAATATAGTTAGGCTTGCCTAATATATAAATACTTAATAATAGGTACTGTTTAAAGTGGATTGTAATTACATAAATATTTATAAAAATGAAGATGCTTCTTGATTGTGTTGGAATATTTACTTTAATCGAACTACTAGGTTCTAATTTCACAGTTATGTATTCTAAATAATCGTGTTTTCACATTATAAACCTTCAAAATCTCTTAAAGTAAAAACAACGTGCTTTAAGTAACAAAAAACTTAAACTACTTGAATATTTTTTTTACTTATAATAAATAATTTTATTCTTAATACAGGCGCTTTTCTCCATGTTAACCTGCCTATTAAATTGTAGGTTAAAATGCTTTAGAAACGTAAAATTTTAATAATTCAAATACTTTGGAAAACAAAACATGTTATCTTAGCCTACTTAGTAAAGGCGATGTTTTTTAAGTTAGCTAAAACTTAATGTACAATCCACCCTTTAGGCTTACCTGAACTATGTGGCGAAACATGGACAAGAAGCTGGTTTGCCAGGAGTTGAATATACCAACCAACAAATTTTCTTTATTCAGTTTGCCCAGGTAAGTCCTAGATAATTGCTTTATTGGCTTGAGCATATGTTTCGTACAGTTTTCTAGGAATGTTTTTGGCTATTATTTATTCACTATTTGCCAATAAATGTTGTCTTTGTTCCAATGCATAGATCGACTTGCTGTCATTCTACTGAAGCGTTCCTGTAATATATCTTATACGTGTATAGACGTATCTTGAGAATCACAAATGTGATGATATCTTTTTTTCAATATTCCAAGTGAGAACCAGGTGTTTCTTATCTACGAGTTAACTTGAATATATTTTAACCTAACAATTAACCATCTCCCTCCATTTCTCATATACATGGTCAGTACCGAATTAACACATAGGCCATCTAGGACTGGGCCTAGGGCCCTAGCGTTTACCCAAGTAAAAAAAATATTGTTCATAAAACAAGCAGAATAATGGCAAGAGTGAGTTATTATTATTATCACTATTATTTGTCAGGTACTTACTTTTTTAGTAGTATATATAGTAAATAAATATATGGGTGATTTGAGCTAAAGATTCTTCTACAGTACGTGTCTGTGACTAGTTGGCGATAAATTGAACGATAAATGAACAGCATGCACTCCGCTTGTTTTAAAATGATATATTCAAAACAAATTAAACGTATGTACAAAAATTCTTTACACTTTGTATATCATAGTTGAATCTTAAATACTATACAGTTCTCTTCTTCTTGTCAAGTCCACTTAGGCCAATTCAATTGTTTTAGAATTCAGTTGACAAACCAAACTATTTTCCCCTGTTTTTATCTTAAACACTATCAGTGTATAATTCACTTATTCCTTTCCTTTTTTTTCCTTTTATGACAACATATCGGTGTATAATTCACTTACGCTGTCGTTGATTTACCACAGCTGTACCCTAAGCTTCCGATTCTCGTCTGCTTTTCGCATATAGGCCTACTACCAATAATTGTCTGCTTTTTGTCAAAGTCCACACAGGCAGGTTCAATTGCTTTAAAACACCCTCTGACAAGACAAATTATTCTCTTAAAACTTCAGAAACTGTTAATCTCACTTTAACATATTAACCGTTAGGCTATTCACTCCTACGACGGTTAACTTTACGTTTTCTAACCTTTCTCTGACCTGCAATTCTCTTTCAACTCGCTTTACTTTTCGCCCACTTCCCGCTATTTAGTTTCTCGTCTGCTCACCAGCTATTTATACGTCTCTTATTGAGGCGTTCTAGAAATCTCTGTAGCCTCGACATCAATAACTTACAAACACAACTTCCAACAATCGTCTGCTTTTAACTATTTTATTATAAAAAATAACAACAACTAAACAATAATAAAATATGAACTTACTCAATAAATTAATTAATACTACTTACACTAAACAGTCTTTTATATCTGACATTATTATTCCAAAATATTAACTGGACCTAGGGCCTCACTAAACCTTAGTCCGGCCCTGTACATGGTCAGTCCGGATTGTCTGTTTTGTTTATATTATATAAGAACTTGTTAATCGCTCAATAAATACATAAACGAACCCATCATCACGTAACAGCTCATACCTTAAAAACAAGTGAGATTACTTTCACACTTCGCTCAGAATGATGTAAAGAACGGCCGATGTTAGACCGCGTACAACAGATCGAAGCCTGTGTGTATGTGGAAGGCTACATTTTGGCGAATTAATATTGACTAAGCTCAATATCTGTTAACTATTTTTACCACTTTGTGGTTACAATTATGTGTAGTTTGACAATATATAAATAAATACATTTCCATTCGCCGTATACGATCTATTATCAAGTCCTCCAGTGGAACAACGGTTAGTCCACAGACTTACAACGCTAAAATTCGAGGTTCGATTCCCTGCAGTGGACACAGCAAATTGCTGAATGTGCAATGTGGCTCTGCTCTAACACAAACAAACAAAATATAATATCAACCGCCTGCCCCATGGGCGCCCTCTATCATTTTTCGCAAAGCTACTGATAACTATATTCATAAATAGAAAAAAATACATAATTTTAACGGAAAGTAGGGATCGTTGGTTATTCGTTTGTTTTTGCATTTCGCGCAAAGCTACACGAGGGCTATCTGCGCTAGCCGTCCCTAATTTAGCAGTGTAAGACTAGAGGGAAGGCAGCTAGTCATCACCACCCAACGCCAACTCTTGGGCTACTCTTTTACCAACGAATACTGGGATTGACCGTCACATTATAACGCCCCCACGGCTGAAAGAGCGAGCATGTTTGGTGTGACGGGGATTCGAACCCGCGACCCTCAGATTGCGAGTCGAGCGCCTTATCCACCTGGCCATGTCGGGCCTGGTTATTCGTAGAATTGCTATAAAAAGTATCCAAAACAAATTTTAAAACCTATCTAACTTGTATCACTTTACTTGTTTGTGTGCTTTTTATTGCAGCATTTATTTTGTTTTGGATACTTCTTATAGCAATGCTACTAATAACCAACGATCCATACTTTTCGTTAAAATTTTAGTTTTTTTTTCGTGTTTATTTGTTCAGATTTTATATGTCCATAGAATGGGCACAAAATCTACAAACTTCCAGTATAGCCATATCCCTGATAGTTATAACTTTTACAAGAATTAAAACCACAATCACAAATTTATAAAATGTAATCCTTACTTTAGCCTACTGATAAATGTATAAAGCTGCCAAAATAGAGATTAAATTTTATAAATTTGTGATTGTGAAATTAATTCTTGTTTCATTACTTTTTGTAGCAGGATTCTTACTTCATTTTGAAATTCATAATTTTTAATACTCTTGTTTGTATCCTTTTTATGTCATACCTGTATAAAGTATATATCATACTTTACCTTTAGAAACTGTCGCGTGTCTATAAATCGATACGTACCAACACCTGTTGGGTTGAATTGGGTTTAAAAGATATTTAAGACGTGCATGATATATTTACCATTTATAAAAAAATATTTATATATTTATCGGAATATCAAAAGCGGATACCCTCAGATCAGTCAACTAAGCTGGAGAAATCTTGTAGAGATAGTCCGAGCCGTTTAGGTTCTAGCGTCGCTGACGTGATCAGGTAGATAGGTAGTAGACCAAAAAGTTGCTGTTTTATAAATTTTTGAATTGTTATACCTGAAATGTTAGCGACCTTTTAAGCGTATTATTAGTATATATGAGCATAATATATCATAACCAATACTTTGAATGGTCGGTTTATCGCTTAGGAACTCAATAGGGTGGTTTTCGGCGCGAGAATTATTTGATAACCTTGTCGATCCCTACTATTAAGTACTACCGTACTTAATAATATTAGATTATTCCAACAATCGGAATTTCTCTTTTTTCCTGTTTTTAAAAAGCTTTTACATATCTTAAGTCTTTAAATGAAATAAAACTTTACCAGATACCTATACGATCAGAACTTTTGTTGACTTGTTAAAAGCCATTGCCATTCTGAAATACTAGCGCACTTATTATTAATTGAGTTTTTTTGTTTCGTAACCTAATAAGACGTCATAAAATCTTTAATTAATAGGAATTTTACAAGCCTCTTCAGAATAAAATTCCGGTACTATGTAGTAGCAAAATTTTCTGTTATTTTATTCAAGAAGTATTAATAACTATTTCACATTAAAATTTTTCAAATTTGTGCTCATTAGGTCTGGTGTGAAGTATTGAACAAAGATGGATATATTAAATACACCACAGATGGCCATAGCCCAGGACAGTATAGGTAAGGAGAATAAGTGTTTTTATATAGATATGTTGTTTGCACCACCAATCTTCATGGATGTATTAAATACACAACAGATGGCCCTAGCCCGGGACAGTATATGTAAGGAGAATAAGTGTTTTTATACAGATCTACTGTTTGCACTTATTCTCCTTACATATACAGTCCCGGGCTATGGCCATCTGTTGTGTACTTAATACATCCATGAAGATTGGTGGTGCAAACAGTACATCTGTATAAAAACACTTATTCTCCTTACATATACTGTCCCGGGCTAGGGGCCATCTGTTGTGTATTTAATACATCCATGAAGACTGGTGGTGTTTTTATACAAATCTACAGTTTGCACCACCACTTTTCATATATCTTATGATAATATAGTTGTTGTCCTTACGTAGGTAACAATTACAGAGCATTTTATTGAATATAACAGATTAGAATAGGTGCAGTTACTGGAAGGATAAGCCTTCTTCAGTAAGCTACAGATGAACTGATAAGGTACAAATTGGGTATTTTAAGGGAATTTATGAGGAAAACCTCATGCCATGAAAAATATAAAACTTATAGGTTGTGCAAAAACCAAATCCAAAAGAAGCATTATTTATGTATAAAAGGTACCAATTCAAACCTTCATTTACCCTAATGTATTAACATCATTAACATGAACAAAAACGAAGGTTTAACGCTACAGAACCGAACATGCCAAAAATATTCAAAATTTAGAGAAAGTGACTTTGAGATGTAATAACTCTCTGACGACCATCAGACTCGTTAGTGAATCCAGAAAAAGGCAAGGAAGAATAGTTTATGATAAAGAGAATATTAAACTTTTATAAAAAAAATATAAATTGTTTGTTGTTATGGATTTCGAGTAAACTACACGAGGGCTATCTGCGTTGACCATCCCAAATTTCGAAATTATAGACTAGAGAAAAAGCAGCTAGTCAACGCCGCCTACCACCAACTCTTGAGCTATTCTTATATAGACGAGTTGTGGAATTTGACTGTCACTCTCATTTGCATTGGCAGCTACTAGGGTTATCTGCTGCCATCCCTAATTTTGAACTACTTGCCAGAGGAAAGGCAACCAGTCGGCATCACTCTACCACCTACAATCCACGCAAAGGGATTGACTGCCACTCTTATGAAGCACTACCAGATTAAAGTGTGATGAATATTTTGTTGTATTTTACGTATTTGAATCGGGAATTATATATCTTTACCAAAGGACCATCCCGCTCCCATTATATTAATAAGAAATTAATTTGTGTATTGATAGCATTTTAATTGCTTGTATTGTCCTCAAAACATCTACAACAGATCCTTATAAGTTGTTATGGTTTGTTTTACGCCTCCCTTGTAGTTTCTATGGTTAAAAAGTGTTTTTTTTATTGTGGAAGAATATTATAATGGAAAGTGCGATATTACTATAAGCCAGCAATTATTTAATCGCCAACAAATTATTATTATTTTTTAACATTGAAATTAGACCCTGTATGGCCAGTTGGTTAGGAAGCTTGACTCGTAATCTAAGGGTCGTGGGTTCGAATCCCTGTCCCCTCAAACATGCTCGCCCTTTCAGCCGTGGGGCGTTATAAGTGACGGTCGATCCTACTATTCGTTGGTAAAAGAGTAACCCAAGAGTTGGCCGTGGGTGGTAATGACTAGCTGCCTTCCCTCTAGTCTTTCACTGCTAAGTTAAGGACGTATAGCGCAGATAGCCCTCGTGTAGCTTTGCGCGAAATTCAAAAACAAACACTGAAATTATACTACTGAATAGAACAAAAAATAAATAGGTTAATTCATATTATTTGTCTTTTGTTTCGTTTTACATTTCTAAGGTTTCCAGATAAATTGATGAAAAAGTAAGGCGAAGGCATGAAAAAAAGACAGTGTTCAATCTATTAATAGAAAAAAAAATCAATAGAAATGACTGTCAATGCTTCACACGTGTTTTGCCTTTGTGTAGAATTCAAGCTCTAATTATCAGCTCCTGGGAAGACTCTCCTAGTGATTTTTCCGTAAATACAGCGTTTAAGTGTTATGTTCAACGTCTGATTGCGTTTTTATAGTGTAATTTCTTTATAAGCAATATTGCCCTCATCCTAGTAGTAAATATCATTATAACTGTAACGTTCTTGTCTCTAGGGCGAATGGGGCACTTCAGAACTCTCCATTCTTTGCTGAAGCTTTCAGATGTTCTTTGGGCTCGCCAATGAATCCTGAGAACAAATGCGGACTTTGGGGCTGATTGGTCACCAAGGAAAAGAAGTGTCGCCCAATTGACTGGTGTTAAAGTAATATTTTATCATCGACTGGTTGCTACTGATAACAAGACAAATGCTAATTGGATGCCATAAGCAACGGTTTTAACATCAGATCCGCTGTGTATATAGTATAACAATAGACAAAATCATACTTACTGGATTTCTTTTGACAGTGAAATTTGTTGAAAACACCATCTACAAATTATTTACAAAATTAAAGATGAAAATAACTTTTAAATAATGCTAAAAGAAATGTTTAAAAAATGCATTAGACTATTTGCCATTGGTCAGGCTTGTTTAACAATATTAGTATGTTCAATATGTACAACTTAACAGAAATACGTGCTACTTTTGGCACTAATTTGAAAATATTAATTGCTGTCTAGAGCATGATAATAATCTTATATTTAACAATCTTCAATTTGAAATTTTTAAGCCCAATATTTTGAATAGACACTATTACTATTTCATTTACTACAGGACTACGATGTTACGTATTTGGGAAATAGACAAGCTATAGTTTAAAACTAATAATAAAAATGATGTACAATCTCTTCTTTTAGAAGTCAGATGAATCTTACGTTATTAACAACTTACGATCAAAACACATATACCAGGACTTAAAAGTGTTTTATAAGATAACGAAATCAATCATGTACAACTAACAGACCTGATGTAATTAATGGCATATCAGTATATCAGAAATCTGAAACTTATAATAATTAGACTTGTTGAATTTTCAGTTGAATATCTTTGAAGTTAATGATACTTTTCAACAGTAATTCCAATTCAACTGTAATGCAACTCATGATGATCGGCCAGCTTAGGAGATTAGGCTATTGTCTATGTAGTTAAGCCAACAGTGCAAGGTAATTTAAATAAGCTTAAAAATTAGTTTACAAAATGCATCCAAAATTATCTTAAACACTGTAATCAATTATTTTAACGAAACTACCTGTAATAAAAACAGGCAGGTGAAGGTAAGAAAGCAGTAATAGTTAGAAAAACCCTACATCTCACACTCTGTGCAATACAAAAAAATTTTTTTAAATCATTGGCGCTAAATGAGTTTTTTTTTTTTTTTTGTCAAGTGAATTTTGAAAGGTGGCTAACAGCAGTCGAAACACAGCACAATCCAATTTCAAAAAAAGCTCTTGTCAAACTCTCCTAACATTTGTACATTTCTATCTAACCTTATTCAGTAGATAATATTGTAGAAGTTCTAAGAATGTAAATATCTCCTAAAATACATTTTAATCTAACCTTATTATAGAAGAGAATCTTGTATAAATTCTCCTAACATATATACATTTTAATCTAACCTTATTCAGAGAAGAATATTGTAAAAGAAAAAAAAAGAGACAATTTACAGAATGAGTGTTACTTAATATCATTAAGTATGTCTTGTGGATAGTAACAATAATGCTTAATTATTAAGTTATATTCTATGCTTATATTTGAAGTATAGTATATTTGTTTGCAAGGTAAAGTGTAACATTTTAGCCTTTAAAAGCATATTGGCACAGGATCCCTTTTCAATCAGTGAATTAGATAAAGACATTATTTTAATCTTAATATTGTGTATTACTTAACTTATATATATATACGTACGTATTACTTAACTTATATATCTACGTACGTACCAATCTCTAGGTTGTGTATTTCTTGAATTCTTATCTACGCGTGCACCAGTTTCTACTTTGTAGACTTCTTCAATCCTTATCTATGTGTGTGTACCTATCTCTAAGTTATGGATTATTTTAATCCTTATCTAGACGTGTTCTTATCTCAAGGTTGTGAATTACTTAAATTCTTACAAGTGTAATAATATATTGTACTATAATATAAAAATTAATATGTGTTCTCCACACAAATTATGAGAGGAAAAATCGACGAACCACAAACAACAGTTAGCATGTTCTACTGTTTGTATTTTATTCTCTATTTTAGATACCATATTAGTTGAATGGGTAAACGACTCCTAATTTTAGAATAAACGTTTATGGAATTGGGTTTTAACATTATGCTTGTACGTGCACTGGTCACAAGTAACTGTCAGTTTTGTTTGTTAATCATAAAGCTACAAATGGGCTATGTGTGATGTGCCCACCACGGGTATCGGAACCCGGTTTTTTAGCGTTATAAGCCTTCATACTTACCGCTGAGCCACAGTCTGAACACTTGTCCGTGTAGCGTGACTAGAAAATATTTTAAGGTTTATAGGTAGAATAGGCTACACATTATAATTTGCTTGGACGTTTCAGTATTAGATTCATACGCACAACATTGTACGTACATGTACTTCCCTTTTGGATACTCAAGATCTTAGATTACACTAATATTTTCTACTAATTTAGGTACAATAAAGAACTGGTTAATTTCGGTCTCAAAATTAAAAAAAGAGAAGTTGAAAACCCTTATCATTCGTTCATTTAAATCTGTTCAAAATGCCGAGAGCTTGTGGAATTTTTATCATAGGGTTGGGAAATGAATATTTACCAGGAAACTATTTGGGTTAACATGCTGTAGTTTTATTAAGCTACTCTTACAGAACTAGAAAAGGAGTGGCTTGTATATTGCACTTGGCTAGACTGAGATTTGATACAAGTTCCTCAGACTGCGAGAGAAATATTGAAGAAAACCCTCTTTAAACTATGAACATTAATTGCTCTTAATCGGTTACCATTTTTATGAATCTAAAACGGTGTTATATCAGAATTGTCCGTCAGGTTGTTCTTACAATGATGAATTTGCTCTTTAAATAATTTATTGATATAGGACTTGTATGTGACGATTTGAATGAATTAAGTGCAAATGTATATATCTGTTTTTAGAGCAGATTTCATGTAGTTATGTTTAATATTTCATTCTACTTTTTACTAACACACCTTTCTTTTTCAATTATGTCATTCTACTTTTCACAAATACACCTTTCTTTTTTCAATTATATCATTCTATGAACTGTCCTTTATTTTTCATCTAAAGCAGTATATCAACCACGTACATGTACACAATCATGTCTTTTATTTCTTACAGGAGTACTGTTAAAACTAATTGTTGCACTTGGAAGTTTTTGAAATACCAACGTGATAGTTTAGGCTTTATTTTGTGTGATAAATACAGGTAGACTTATAAGTCAATCTTCAAGTAGTTTCTAATAAAATTACTGTTGCAGTGAGACATAGTCTCTTTCTATTATATTATATATATATTAAACTTTATTACAAATATGTGTCTATGTATACTCAAAGATAGTAACAACGTTTATATTATAATGACACAATACGAAGATTATGAACCTAAAAACTGAAAAAAGTGTTTAGGTTACTAAACATTCAGAAAATTAACAAAATTATTTCTTCTATTTCCAGTGTGATAAGCAAAAGCCATTTGATGTTTTTATTGTGGTTATCTTGTATCCAAAAACAAATAAGTTAAACATTAGTTCTGTATGTGCTGTTGAAATTTATATATACATTAGTCTCTTTGAATTAAATTAATTCCTACTAATTCTTGATCCATCACAATGATAACAAGAGTAAGCAATACCTGATTTATTATAATGATATCAAAATCAAGTAATACCTGATTCATGACAATGACAGCAAGATCATCAATTCTGGGCAATGAGATCATGATAGTTTATATTTGATGTGATTAGAGTTGAGGGTGACGAAAGTTTAAACTCCTGGGCAATAACTTGAGTTTTCCAAAAAATGCTTTGTAGGACTTGCATCTTAACAAGCTCCAGAACTACATAGAGATCAAACTTTTTTGGACTAGATGTTTAGAAAATAGATACGACCGAAATAGGTAACTATTTATTAATGTTATTTTTTTCTGATTGATGAAAAGAATGAACAACAGTATATATGTATAAACCTTTACTATTTAAATAGAGAAATCGTAGAGACCACTCTTTGTTAAATGGATATTGTTAGTGATGTCAAACTTGTACATAAACAATCTTTGAAAAGAATGAATAATATATATAAAAACTTTACTATTTCAATAGAGAATCATAGAGTCCACGCCTTGTTAAAATTGATATTGTTAGTGATGTCAAACTTGTACATGAACAATGTTTCAAATAAATAAATAATATATATAAAAAACCTTTACCATTTCAATAGAGAATCATAGTGTCCACGCCTTGTTAAAATTGATATTGTTAGTGATGTCAAACTTGTACATAAACAATATTTCAAAAGAATGAATAATATATATATATATACAAAACCTTTACTATTTCAATAGAGAATCATAGAGTCCATGCCTTGTTAAAATTGATATTGTTAGTGATGTCAAACTTGAACATGAACAATATATCAAGATAACGTACAATGACTTAACACTAGCTTGGTCATTTTTCTTGAATACCAGTTTATTGCTGTTAGTTTTGTTGTAGTTAATAAATACTGCAAATATTATAAGTTTAGAACTTGCTTTGTTAACATGTGTCTAACCAACAGTAATGTATGTTAATATTTTGTACTTAAAATGTTTAATAAATGTTCATGTTGCTGTTGATGTTCGTGTTTCATTTTTTTTAACGTAAACAAACTTACAGAACGGCAACAATATTTCTATTAGTTATTATTATTTTTACCTGTGTTATCACATAAGCTATTTGAAGATAATCCAATTATTATTTTTGATTACAAAAATCACTCGGAAGTTAGCGCTTGGAAATGTGTTGGGATTCCCTTGCAGTGTTGCCAAGTCTCGCGAGAAAAATAAGCGGCACTGCCGTTTGAAACAAGCAGCACTGACTTTAAAAGCTGGTCTTTTATGGCTTACCTTCAAAATGGCGATTTGCGCGGCTTAATTGGAATATAAAATGTGTCAAGTAGGTGCAGTGTCGTAGCATTAAGTATACTAGCACCTGTCAACATTCATCTACAATTAGTCAGTATCAGTCTGATGCAGGCCTTGATGCTGATATCATCTTCGCGAGCATGGTGCTTTATTGAGAACCGATGAAACATTTACCACTTTGCTGGATGAAGTTAAGCTGATTCTGCAAAATACTACAGGTGATGATAACAGTGTAACAATACAAGACTATCAGCCTGCAGAAAAGAGAAGACGTCGTGAAAATTCTGGTTTCAAAGACTACATTGTTGATCATCTGCACAGAGATAACACCAATTTGTCAGAAAATGATAACCTCAAAAGATCGTGGTTCTGTCTAATTGACAGTATCCTGGTTGAGCTTGATGAACGTTTCTCGGAGAAAAATTCGCATCTTATTCGTGTCATGGAGTCACTAGATCCCGAATCAGAACATTTCTTAGAGAAAGACCGAATGAGATTTCTCGCAGACTTGATCGGCCTTGAAATGGACAGCTTTGTTTTGATTCGGATTGATGTTGCCAAAAAATACATCAGTGACCACTGGAGGAAAAACGACAAACATAACCTGGTGTCTGTTTTGCAACAGCTTTTCCATTTCAAATCGAAGGGCTTTCCAGCCATTACAGAACTGTATGAGGCAGCATTAACAACTGGATCCTCAACTGCAACATGTGAAAAAGTTTTTTCTGCTCTGACAAATGTGCTTACAGACCTCCGTCAGTCGATGTCTCATGAAAGACTGGCGAACTTGATCCTCATCGGGTTTGAGAAGTGCATTCTTGATGATATATGTCAGAGTGTTGATGGGAAGCATGAAATATTGAGAGACTTCAATTCTATTCAGACTAGACGATTACAGTTGTTTTAATAACAAAATGTGGACTTTATTTACATTGCTTTAATTAATTACAAGGGTCCAATCAAGTTTCCCTGGGACTGACTCGTGCTTTCTGTTTTGATTAACTTACCAGTTCATATCTAACTTAAGTTCTTTTTGTCGGATATCAAAAATTTTTTCACGAGTGAATTCGCTTATGAATTAATAAGGAACATCAATAAATGATAACAAAATTTATAAAGAAAACTGAAAATGATTACAATGTACTCGCGCCCTTTGAGTTTGTCATTGCGCCCTCAATGTGTGCGTCCTGGCTACGACACTGAGTGGGTGGCCAGAAAGCTCACGATTGTGGGTGCGTCTTTTAATTGAAGTGGAGTAGAGATAGAAAGACTCTAGAATTGTGATGATGTGTAAGCTATTCATTGACTCAGTCAATCACTGGAACCACCCCTACAACCATTTTACTGCGTGTTAAAGTCAGCTATTACAAAGAAAGCCCAAATAAGCAGCATCAGAATAAAACGAGCACAAAAACCGCAACGCGACTTTAAGAAACAACAAGAACAAACCCAATCCCACTTATTATAAGCTAACTTAGAAACACTGTTTCCTTGGCTCCAAGCTATAAACGTTTTTCATGTTAGGCACCCACTATTTAGCAGACTGAGGCCTACAGTCAATATTTTAGTAGATGATTCCACTTGAATTTCGGAAAGAAAATGTATTTCTGTTCAGGAGCTCAAACTGAGATTTTGTTTAGGCAAAACTCTGTGATAAATTTAGGATAAAAAATAACGAGAATTCTGTTCTTAATCAGTTTTATTTTACTTTATACTAACAAACGTATAATTTTCTTCTTATAAAAATTCTTGTAATGTCAGAATCATTGTTTTTGTTTAATGACAATGATTGTGTTATGTGGCTAGATTATGTCGTGTATTAATGTTTCAACATTTCAAGACTCAGTATTTTATTTAAAGATTTAGCTAGATTAACTCACCATATTAATATGTCAAAATTTCAAGAATAAATTTTTAGTTTCTGGTTGGCAATAGCCAGTACAGTACTTTCCAATTTGGCGTTAACACCAACTACTACAGTATTTCCAGTACAGTGCAGTGCATTTCAATTTTTGCTTAACGCTAGCCAATTCGGTTTTAGCTATTTCTGGCTTGTACATTGCAGTGCGTTTCAATTTTTGGTTAGCATTAACTAGTTCAGTATTTTCAGTTTTTAGCCAGTACAGTGCAGTGTATTCCAATTCTTGGTTAACGCTAGCCAGTTCAGTTTCTGGCCAATAAAGTACCTTCTAACTCTGTTCTCTAATTCTTACTGAGTTGAAGGAAAAGACCACACACGATACAAATATAAATTTATCGTTATTTTCCTACAACGCAAGTGAAAGCCGAGAATACAAATATGGTGGACAACACTTCTCTCTCTCTTACTATTGATGGACCTTACCGGGAGGAATTCTGGATTGAGACTGGAAGAGTACGACGTTGTACATACAAAACAATAACAATATTCCTCTCAGAGCGCGGGCACTGGTTAACCTAAGGACTACATAGCCCCAGACACAACCTGAACCTCGTGTAACTTGGTGACGCAACCTTGACCTTGCGTAACTAATAGGAAATAAGGTCAGTACTGCACAAAGTTACTTTTCTATCTGTGAATGTCTATAAGAACTCTCCATGCACGTATATCCGAAAAAATTAATATTTTGGTAAATTAAACAGTTTAATTTTCTGAGCTACGAGAAAATACTACACATTCCAGTTTTTGATTAGTTACCCAGTGCTTCCCATTGCGTTTTGGTTAATGCTGGCCAGCACAATACATTACAGTTTTTGGCCACTTAGCCAGTACAATACATTTCAGTTGTTAGTTAGTTAACTAACAACTTGTATTTAGTTAACTGGAATAATATATTCCAGTATTTGATTATTGTAGGCCATGTAGATAATCTCTTCTTATAAAGAATATGACGCAGACTGTTCTCTGTGCTTGTTTCGTGATTTTTAATGGGAATCAGTGGTCCTCCAATCGTTACAAATGAGCACCTTGTTAATGTGAAGCAGTGGTCCTCCAATCATTACAAATTAGCACTTTTTCCAGGTTTACGTGAGCAATATCCTTCAAATAGCTACGGATATTTTCTTGAAGTTAAGACCATAATGCTCTGCGAGATACATTTTTATAACTATTTTCAGTTACCTCGTGAAAGCGCCACAAAGAAGCTCCTTGAAAATACGACTTTCCTTGAATGTCGTTAATATTTGTATACGAATATAACACAAGTCCCTTTCAGCATATTACTAGAAGCATACATGGTTTATAAATTACCTTAGTTATATATGTTCTTCATTATGAGGATTATTTTGTATTAAGTACAAGCCTAAATCTTCTAAACTGGTGCCCCCAGTGGCACAGCGGAATGTCTGCGTAGTTACAACGCTAGAATCCGGGTTTCGATACCTGTGGTGGGCAGAGCACAGATAGCCCATTGTGTAGCGTTGTGCTTAATTACAAATAAACAAACCTAAACTGCCAGAACCTCTTGAATTATCATTTTTTATGGAGATTAAGAACAATAAAATAAGTGTAAAAAAACATTCGTTGAAAAGTTCAGACATTAATTTCTACTTAATAGTAATAATAATAAAGTATCCGAAAATCAATCTTCCGATAAACACATTTTATAAACTGAAACCATTTGCACTTTAAGTTAATGATGTATTGAACAATACGATTAAAACAAATGTAAATAAAACTAAGTAACTAGAGCGGGCAACATTTGGTTTGAAGTGAATTGAGTATTTTCATCTTTACCTCCATCTAAATACCAACATTATATATATATATATATATATACAGCCTCCTGGTATCTCAGCGGTAAGTCTGAGGGCTTATAAAACTAAAAATCTGGTTTCGATATCTGTGTTAGGTAGAGCATAGATACCCCATTATGTAGCTTTGTGCTTAACAAAAAAACAAAAAATATAGGGTTCCTGGTGTGCCACTTCTGTTAAGTACCTTCAAAAATACAAATATAACTACTTGAGGGTTACCTGCATTAGCTATCCCTAATCTTAAAGGCAGCTAGTCATCACCCACCGCAAATTCATGGGCTTTTCTAATCAAATAATGGGGTTTGATAGTCACTCTTATAATGCTCCTATGACCCCAAGGTAAAGAGAGTGATTTATTTATTTATTGTTCATTTTGGCGGTAAAGGAGCGCATAACCTAAGGAACCTCGGATCCACAACCCAGCACGCTAACCACTAGTTATGATAATAAATTTAATAAACTAAGCAGGTATTACTTTCAAGCAGTTGTTAAGTATGAATAAATGGATATAACGATGTCATAGTACATATGAATGTTACGTAAAAATATCATTAAAAACAATGGAGACGTTGACTCTGCTACATAATGTGATTTCGAAATAGAAAAGAGTGGTTACAATGAATAAATAATTATCATAACAACGAAAAAATAAAATCCCCAATAAGCACCATAATGCAATCTTATATCAATGGAATCTGTAAAACAAAATTCACAATCTATATGCTCGATACTCGGATATAACAAACACGGAATCTAAAGGAACCAGGGGCGGATTGGGCTGTCGGAACATCGAAAAAAATTCCAATGTTCTATCAGAAAAAACTGATAAAAAAAACACAACATAAACCGGGCTTAATCGGCGCCCAATTTCCCGTTAATTACTTGCTTTTGTGGTCATACAGGTCTATGGTTTACAAAGTTGGACTGTGAACTAAAAGCATTGCACAATGTATTCTTGCTTAACCTGTAAACAG